TACTCCATGATGTTGCCCATAATTAAGCTAAGCAATTTCATCCTTTACAACAGTTAACAGTATGCACAGTTTTGTACTTTCTTTTTATTCTATCCTTTAACATAGCGACATAAAACCATCAAAACAGAAGCTTAATTAACACTTAACATTTGAATTAAGAAATCTAGTATACTCTCAACTCAGTTCAGAAAAAGTTAAAACACCCATAGTCCAAACAGTATTCCAAAAATAACCCTGTACGCATTAAAATGGAAGAGCCTGCTCTAAAACTTTGGAGCAGGCTCTTTATAGAGCATGGAGCCGGCTCCATGCTTCTTGGAGCCATCTCAAAGAGCCTTGGAGCCAGCTCTAGACATCCTAGAGCTGGCTCTTTTGATGGTAGAGCCGGCTCCTTCCTCTATAGAGCCGGCTCTCCTCTTCTCTAAGAGCCTTCAGTCCCCTGTGTTGCGTTCCAACTTCTCTGCTCCTTCTCCGGCTGATTCCTATCACTCTGTGGTATTTAAAACTGACCTTAAGAGTTTTATTTGAGTCTAGAAGCATCCCCATGGGTGGTTTACAAAAAAAATTGGGATCATTCACAGAGATTAAATTAAGTTTTTCAACTAGATACTTAAAGTACAGAACTGAATCCAATTTGCAACACCAATCCTAATCCAACCCCTTTGTTCTTCTTCACTCTTGATCTTAGGAGTCTTATCCAATCCCAGTAACATCCCCATGATTTATTTACAAAGGTTAAAAGCAGTTACAAAGACTAAAAATTGCTAATAACAAACATGCTTAGAGTAGAAAACTAGAACAAGACTTGAAACAAACTTGCATGCATTAACAGAATCAAATTTAATACGCAAAGCTCATCAACATATCATACGGTCAGTATGTAACTTTCGATTATTAATTACTTAAACCCTAGAGAATATCTAGGTGCACAGAACACAAGCTGGAGGCAGAGAGGAAGAAAAGAACTTGCCTGTAGTTTTAGACTCAAAACTTGTTACCGTCTTCCTAACTTCCGGTAACCACTGCAACACTGTCTAGCCTCCTATTACTTCTACTCTTCCCTTCTCCTAGGTCTGACCTTGAAGCCTCAGTCGAAAACCTCACAAACTTGCTCTGCTCTCTCAAAGCCTCACTCTGTAATTCTCTGTGTCTATGTTACGTGAGTAGGATTTTTCCAACCCTTAACACAGATTATAACTATGTATATATAGGCGTAAAAATACTAAACCCTAATCCTTGTTTAATTAGAGACAGAGCCCTAATCCTAATCCTAGTCGGCCCACAGAACCTAAATCATATACATATTTGATTCATGTATGACGGCTCAAAGAAAACCCTAACTAAAAAAAAAAAAAAACGTATTTAAAACATTAGTTAACATATTTACATATTTAACCTATTCAAATTAAACAATTAACAAATAATTAAATTTTAAAACATCTAATTTATCAAGTAGTTCCATGTAACAACAACAATTAATTAAATGGCAATTAAATCAAACAAGTCACAAAATACAAATAATTTCAAATAAATCAAATAGTAAACACAAATAAATAATTAACACACCAAAAACGCACTTAAATAATTTATTAAAAATACCGGGACTATCCTTTAAACTTAGAGGTATTACAAGAAGGCTCTAAAAATAAAAGAGAAGGCTTTAAACGAAGGAGAAGGCTTAAAAAAACAAAAGAGAAGGCTCCAAGAATTCCTGGAGCCGTCTCCAAGAGGGTAGAGCCAGCTCTACCTCTCCTAGAGCCAACTCTACAATTGGGGGGAGCTGGCTCCCTCCTTCTGGAGCCGGCTCTCTCCCTTTCTGAAAGCCGTCCGCGATTCTGTGAATTCTACGACCTTCGTCCCTGACTCCGGCTGCTTCCAACCCTCTCTGTTTATTTTAAACCTGAACCTCGATGTCCCAAGTATGTCCAGTATCATCTAGATTCATTATTCATACCAAATAGCATTACTAAAATCCTTTAACACCTACCGATTATAGTATGCTTATAAAAACAAGTACTGTAACCAAACTTTCAAAAATCATCACAGAACTAATTCAAGGCAAAAATATGATTAATTTGACATATAAAAACATGCACGATTCAATTATTGATCCATTAAAACCCTAGAGCATACCTAGGTGCACAGAACACAAGCCAAAGGGAAGGAGGAAGAAAAGAACTTACCTATGATTTCAGTTGAAATCCCGGCGTCGTGTCCACTGTTCTGGCAACACTGAGTTACTGTCTAGCCTCCTTCTACTTCTGCTCTTCCCTTTTCCTAGGTCTGACTTTGAAGCCTCAGTCAGAAACCTCACACATTTGCTATGTTTCTCTCAAACCCTTACTCTGTATCTCTCTGTGTTTTGATACGTGAATTGGGTTTTCCAACCCTTCCTTCAGACTATAACCATATATATATAGGCATAGATAAAACCTAATTCCAATGCTAATCTGCGATAGAAACCCTAATCTAAATTAAACCCTAGTCGGCCCATAGGATAAAACCCTCGTTAGAAACCTTGTTGCTTCCACCTACAGAACTTCTAATAGTTTCAGTTACGAAATCTCTAAAGACTTTATTAACGTAATTAAATAATTAAACCTCTATATTAATAAATCAAGGACACACAAATAATAAAAACAATTCAGATAATTTAATTAAATCCAGTAATACAAATAAAGCAAATAATGCCATTAAATAATTAATTCCAATTAAATAGAATAATTAATCACGTAAGGCAAATTCAAATACATAATTAACAATTAAATCAAATAGAAATAAAACAATTAAACACATAAGCAAATAGACACAAAAATCAATTAAAAATGCACAAAATAAACGTTAAATCCCAATTTTATCCTTTTGGAAAATAGGGGCATTACAAAGCTTGCATGATCATCTTCCTGTGAATTCTTCGCTCTCTATTCGGCGGATTAATAAAACTTCTTCGTGTCCTTTCTGTGATTCTGCAATCGAAACAATTAACCATCTTCTTTGTACTTGTCCTTTTGCAAGCTTGGTCTGGTTTTTATGCCATCTGCATATGGATTTTCGAGGGACAGGTCCATCTTTTTGGCCTAAGAAGTGGATGGCCCTTACAGAGCAGTGGTCTCGGTCTGAGAATATGCAGGAATGTGTGAGTTTTGCTTCTTTCATATGCTAGACTATTTGGAAATGTTGTAACGCTCTTATCTTTGCTAATCGTCAATGGGATCCTTTTGAAGCGGCTCAGAAAGCTCATCGCGACTTTATTGAATTCCAAGAGATTTCGCGCCAATCTCGTCTTCTATCACTTCCATCTCCTTCTGTGGCTCCTATTTCTTTGAAGTGGTGTGCTCCAGCAAGTGGATGTCTTAAGCTGAATTTTGATGCCGCTTTTGACTCCTTTCGACTGCTCTGTGGAGGAGGTCTGATATTGCGCAATGATGTGGGTCATCCCATCCGGGTGGCCTCTTTCTTTTTCTCCCATGTGAGTGGACCGTCTATTGCTGAAGGCTTAATTCTTTGTGTATGCCTTTCTCTTCTCAAAGTGTGGGGTTATGAAAATGTTGTGGTGGAAGGGGATTGTCAGCCGGTGATGCGTCTCTTACCCTCTGCTGTGGCTTTAAGTGTAATTTTTAATGATGTTATTTCTATTCTTAAAGCTTATAAGGGGGCTTCTTTGGCTTAGGTGCCTTGCGAAGGCAATGGGGTGGCTCATTTGCTTGGTAAAAAGGCTATAATAGTCGAATGTGGTGATTTGGAGTGGAGGGTATGGCCCCAATGGCTATTAGATGCTCTACTTCCTGATTATATTTGTTTTACTTCTTAACCTATCGTTGCTTTGGAAAAAAAAAAATACACAAAACATATACATACAATGGTCAAATGTTTCCAAATCCAACTAACTACTTAAAAGAAAAAAAAAAAGAAAAAAAAAAAAAAAATTTATTTATTTATTTATTTTTATTTTATAATTTTCAACCAATCAAAAAAAAAAAAAAATCATTTCCAAAATCTCTTCTATTTCCATTCAACGATACAAAAAGTGAAGAAATATCTTCCCATTTTTAGAAATGTCTCGTCCATTCCTTGAAAGTAGATATCATACCATTTAAACGAATTTCCGTTGATAAGAACTAAAGACATTGAGCTCCTTGAAAGTTGATATCATACAATCTGAACTAATACCCGTTGATAAGAACTAAGGGCTAGTTTGGTGTGGTGGAATGAATTGGAATGGAATGAGAATGGAGATGGAAATGAAATGGTCATTCCTTTTGTTGGAATGTAGAATGATTTTAATGGAATGACCACTCTCTAAGAATAATGGAGAATGATGATTCCAACTTTAAAATTGGCACCAAACACAAGAATGGAAAAAAAACTATTCTATTCCACTTTCTTTTATTTCATTTCACCACACCAAACTAGCCCTAACGATATTGAGCTCCATTTATTTGGATGTAAAATATATTTTTTGGAAAATATTTTCTTTTTTTTCAGGTAAATTATTTATTTATTTTACTTTTTCGTTGTTTGGCAAAGATCTAGGTCGAGATTGAAATCGAGTCCATCGAGTAAGGTGTGTAAAATAACTTGCTAAAAATTGATGGGTAAGTTGTTTTTGTCAAGTTTTAATATATATATATATATATTTTACAACAACAAAACATTAAAAAAATATATATATTTTCTTAAAAATAATTTACATCCAAACAAACGGAGCGATATTACATGTCACAATCCAATGAATATTTGAAAATATTCAAAATAAAGATATCCATCATATCAAATTTGTCAGTAGTTTAACTTCAAATTAATTACACTTCACAAACCCTCATACTTGCAGTAACTTGTCCAAAATTCATGATTAAAGAAAAAGACTTAAACTGTCACGCCCCGAATTTTTTTCTAAATAAATTCCTCGATTTATTCAAATCAAAATACATCAGTATTACACCCAGGATCTCAAAAAAAATATCATTTTGTTTAAACAGAATCAATTCCTCAAATAAATATACAAAATCTCTGAATAAATTAAAATAATTCCTCAAAAATGAATATACAAAAATCTCTAAATAATTAAATAAAAATCCTCAACACCAACTCTTCCACCTAAACTCGCAACTAAAAATCCTCAAGCATCCTCGATACTTGAAACTGGAAGGGGGTGAGACGGAGGAAGTCCCAGTAGGAAAAACCATAGCAAGGATTTCAAAGAGTTTCATGCAAAATTAACTTCACAAAAATATACATATATATTTAAACAAAATATATATATGCAATTTTAACAAAACAACAATTAATAAAATATTTGAATCAAAATCATCCAGGCCATTCAAGATATGAAGAACCCTACACTGTAAAACAAAAATCACTGCATCCTCAATTCTCTAAGTCTGTCTGCCCATCTTGGCACTGTCTGTTTCCTCAAACTCACTCTAATTTTCCTTCTCCGTTTGCTCATATAAACACAAAACACTCTATTTATAATGTAATTCCACTGGCACAAAATAAATATCAATTCAATTACAGAACAAAAATCTATTCGGTCCCGCCGTCCATTCAAATTCGTACATTTTCTTATCTCTTAGTCTTTATTCTCATTCAATGTATCACTTAAAAGACAACAAAAATCAGCCACCAAATACAAGGCCACGTGAGTGAATCCAAGAAAGAACTTTGGCCACACAATACAAATACACTACATAGAAAAATATATATAAATATCCAAAGTGGGTCCCGTACCAAACACATTTCCATTTCTCTTTTTGCTTCCTTCATTCATTTTCGGCAGCCAGCATAATCCTCCTCCAGATTCATTGTATCAAATTAACAACAAAGCCATGTGCACAAAATTAAAGACAAAAAACGTTGCCCAAATAAAATCTAAGTGGGCCCGCCAATCCAAATACATCATAGTTTCCACTTCCTTTCCCACTTCGTGCTGCCTTCTCTTTATCTCACAAACCATATTAGATATATATATATATATATATATATATAATGTATCAAAACCAAAATCAACCCATTAACACCATTTAATGGGATCCGCCAATAAACCATTACAATTCTTTTCCTCTTCAATTTTCGACAGCTTTCTCCCATCATGATAATTAAAATCATGAAATGAAATTAAATAAAAACTGTAGTCTCCAATTTAAAAATCAATAACTCAATCTCTAATTAGTAAGTCTCCAATTAAAACAAAATAATCAATTTTAACAACTAAAAATCATAAAATAATTGAATTTCAATTCTTAAAAAAATTCGGGTTGTCACATTCTCCACCACTTAAAAAGAATTTCGTCCCAAAATTCAGATCGAACAGTCTTCGTACCTGAAAACACCAAAAGTAGTAAAACATAATCCATAAAAAAAAAAAAAATCCTTACCCCAGGCGATGTCAAATTCAGTGACATGAAAAATATTGTGGTAGCTGACAGTGCTAATTACCCGCTCACACACTCCGTAACCGTTGTGGTAACTAGACGATGCCGTTACCCGCCCACAAAATAAAACCGATAGTGATCTAGGGACACCTACCTCTAATCACTGATAGTAATCATCCTAATAGCTGCCAGTGAACGACATCTGGACACACACACCCGGCTACGAGTGGTAGCTAGTCAATACTAAACACTCGCCCACACACACCCGACAACATCATTACTAAACTCACACTTCCGGCTAGGTACAGGCTCTAATATCATTCTCTCACGCCCCGAATTTTTTTCAAAATAAATTGCTTGATTCATTCAAATCAAAATACATCAAAATATACAAATAAATATACAAAATATACAGAATCAATTCCTCAAATAAATATACAAAATCTCTAAATAAATTAAAGTAATTCCTCAAAAATGAATATACAAAAATCTCTAAATAATTAAATAAAAATCCTCAACACCAACTCTTCTACCTAAACCAGCAACTAAAAATCCTCAAGCATCCTTGGTACCTGAAACTGGAAGGGGGTGAGACAAGGGAAGTCCCAGTAGGAAAAACCATAGCAAGGATTTCAAAGAGTTTCATGCAAAATTAACTTCACAAAAATATACATATATATTTAAACAAAATATATATATGCAATTTTAACAAAACAACAGTTAATAAAATATTTGAAACAAAATCATCCAGGCCATTCAATATATGAAGAACCCTACACTGTAAAACAAAAATCATTGCATCCTCAATTCTCTAAGTCTGTCTGCCCATCTTGGCACTGTCTGTTTCCTCAAACTCACTCTAATTTTCCTTCTCCGTTTGCTCATATAAACTCAAAACACAAAACACTCTATTTATAATGTAATTCCACCGGCACAAAAATAAATATCAATTCAATTACAGAGCAAAAATCTATTGGGTCCCACCGTTCATTCAAACTTGTACCTTTTCTTATCTCTTAGCCTTTATTCTCATTCAATGTATCACTTAAAAGACAACAAAAATCAGCCACCAAATACAAGGCCACGTGAGTGAATCCAAGAAAGAACTTTGGCCACACAATACAAATACACTACATAGAAAAATATATATAAATATCCAAAGTGGGTCCCACACCAAAACACATTTCCATTTCTCTTTTTGCTTCCTTCATTCATTTTCGGCAGCCAGCATAATCCTCCTCTAGATTCATTGTATCAAATTAACAACAAAGCCATGTGCACAAAATCAAAGACAAAAAAGGTTGCCCAAATAAAATCCTAATGGGCCCGCCAATCCAAATACATCATAGTCTCCACTTCTTTTCCCACTTCGTGCAGCCTTCTCTTTATCTCACAAACCAACATTAGATATATATATATATATATATATATATATATATATATATATCTAATGTTGGTTTGTGAGATAAAGAGAAGGCAGCACGAAATATAAAATGTATCAAAACCAAAATCAACCCATTAACACCATTTAATGGGATCCGCCAATAAACCATTACAATTCTTTTCCTCTTCAATTTTCGGCAGCCTTTTCCCATCATGATAATTAAAATCATGAAATGAAATTAAATAAAAACTGTAGTCTCCAATTTAAAAATCAATAACTCAATCTCTAATTGGTAAGTCTCCAATTAAAACAAAATAATCAATTTTAACAACTAAAAATCATAAAATAATTGAATTTCAATTCTTAAAAAAATCCGGGTTGTCACATTCTCCACCACTTAAAAAGAATTTCGTCCCGAAATTCAGATCGAACAGTCTTCGTACCTGAAAACACCAAAAGTAGTAAAACACAATCCAAAAAAAAAAAAATCCTTACCCCAGGCGATGTGAAATTCAGTGACATGAAAAATATTGTGGTAGCTGACAATGCTAATTACCCGCCAACACACTCCGTAACCGTTGTGGTAACTAGACGATGCCGTTACCCGCCCACAAAATAAAACCGATAGTGATCTAGGGACACCTGCCTCTAATCACCGATAATAATCATCCTAATAGCTGCCAGTGAACGACATCCAGACACACACACCCGGCTACGAGTGGTAGCTAGTCAATACTAAACACTCGCCCACACACACCCGACAACATCATCACTAAACTCACACTTTCGGCTGGGTACAGGCTCTAATACCATTTTCTCATGCCCCGAATTTTTTTCTAAATAAATTCCTCGATTTATTCAAATCAAAATACATCAATATTGCACCCAAGATCTCAAAAGAAATATCATTTTATTGAAACAGAATCAATTCCTTAAATAAATATACAAAATCTCTAAATAAATTAAAATAATTCCTCAAAAATGAATATACAAAAATCTCTAAATAATTAAATAAAAATCCTCAACACCAACTCTTCCACCTAAACCCGCAACTAAAAATCCTCAAGCATCCTCGGTACCTGAAACTGGAAGGGGGTGAGACGGGGGAAGTCCCAGTAGGAAAAATCATAGCAAGGATTTCAAAGAGTTTCATACAAAATTAACTTCACAAAAATATACATATATATTTAAACAAAATATATAAATATGCAATTTTAACAAAACAACGGTTAATAAAATATTTGAAACAAAATCATCCAGGCCATTCAAGATATGAAGAACCCTAAACTGTAAAACAAAAATCACTGCATCCTTAATTCTCTAAGTCTGTCTGCCCATCTCGGCACTGTCTGTTTCATCAAACTCACTCTAATTTTCCTTCTCCGTTTGCTCATATAAACTCAAAACACAAAACACTCTATTAATAATGTAATTCCACCGGCACAAAAATAAATATCAATTCAATTACAGAACAAAAATCTATTGGGTCCCACCGTCCATTCAAACTTGTACCTTTTCTTATCTCTTAGTCTTTATTCTCATTCAATGTATCACTTAAAAGACAACAAAAATCAACCACCAAATACAAGGCCATGTGAGTGAATCCAAGAAAGAACTTTGGCCACACAATACAAATACACTACATAGAAAAATATATATAAATATCCAAAGTGGGTCCCGCACCAAAACACATTTCCATTTCTCTTTTTGCTTCCTTCATTCATTTTCGGCAGCCAGCATAATCCTCCTCCAGATTCATTGTATCAAATTAACAACAAAGCCATGTGCACAAAATCAAAGACAAAAAAGGTTGCCCAAATAAAATCCTAGTGGGCCCACTAATCCAAATACATGATAGTCTCCACTTCCTTTCCCACTTCGTGCTGCCTTCTCTTTATCTCACAAACCAACATTAGATATATATATATATAATGTTGGTTTGTGAGATAAAGAGAAGGCAGCACGAAATATAAAATGTATCAAAACCAAAATCAACCCATTAACACCATTTAATGGGATCCGCCAATAAACCATTACAATTCTTTTCCTCTTCAATTTTCGGCAGCCTTTTCCCATCATGATAATTAAAATCATGAAATGAAATTAAATAAAAACTGTAATCTCCAATTTAAAAATCAATAACTCAATCTCTAATTGGTAAGTCTCCAATTAAAACAAAATAATCAATTTTAACAACTAAAAATCATAAAATAATTGAATTTCAATTCTTAAAAAAATCCGGGTTGTCACATTCTCCACCACTTAAAAAGAATTTCGTCCCAAAATTCAGATCGAACAGTCTTCGTACCTGAAAACACCAAAAGTAGTAAAACACACCCAAGGCGATGTGAAATTCAGTGACATGAAAAATATTGGGGTAGCTGACAGTGCTAATTACCCGCCCACACACTCTGTAACCGTTGTGGTAACTAGACGATGCCGTTACCCACCCGCAAAATAAAACCGATAGTGATCTAGGGACACTTGCCTCTAATCACCGATAGTAATCATCCTAATAGCTGCCAGTGAACGACATCCAGACACACACACCCGGTTACGAGTGGTATCTAGTTAATACTAAACACTCGCCCACACACACCCGACAACATCATCACTAAACTCACACTTCTGGCTAGGTACAGGCTCTGATACCATTCTGTCACGCCCCGAATTTTTTTCAAAATAAATTGCTCGATTTATTCAAATCAAAATACATCAGTATTACACCCAGGATCTCAAATGAAATATCATTTTATTGAAATAGAATCAATTCGTCAAATAAATATACAAAATCTCTAAATAAATTTAAATAATTCCTCAAAAATGAATATACAAAAATCTCCAAATAATTAAATAAAAATCCTCAACACCAACTCTTCCACCTAAACCCGCAACTAAAAATCCTCAAGCATCCTCGGTACCTGAAACTAGAAGGGGGTGAGATGGGGGAAGTCCCAGTAGGAAAAACTATAGCAAGGATTTCAAAGAGTTTCATGCAAAATTAACTTCACAAAAATATACATATATATTTAAACAAAATATATATATGCAATTTTAACAAAACAACAGTTAATAAAATATTTGAAACAAAATTATCCAGGTCATTCAAGATATGAAGAACCCTACACTGTAAAACAAAAATCACTGCATCCTCAATTCTCTAAGTCTGTCTGCCCATCTTGGCACTGTATGTTTCCTCAAACTTACTCTAATTTTCCTTCTCCGTTTGCTCATATAAACTCAAAACACAAAACACCCTATTTATAATGTAATTCCACCGACACAAAAATAAATATCAATTCAATTACAGAACAAAAATCTATTGGGTCCCGCCGTCCTTTCAAACTTGTACATTTTCTTATCTCTTAGTCTTTATTCTCATTCAATGTATCACTTAAAAGACAACAAAAATCAACCACCAAATACAAGGCCACGTGAGTGAATCCAAGAAAGAACTTTGGCCACACAATACAAATACACTACATAGAAATATATATATAAATATCCAAAGTGGGTCCTGCACCAAAACACATTTCCATTTCTCTTTTTGCTTCCTTCATTCATTTTCGGCAGCCAGCACAATCCTCCTCTAGATTCATTGTATCAAATTAATAATAAAGCCATGTGCACAAAATCAAAGACAAAAAGGTAGCCCAAATAAAATCCTAGTGGGCCCGCTAATCCAAATACATCATAGTTTCCACTTCCTTTCCCACTTCGTGCTGCCTTCTCTTTATCTCACGAACCAATATTATATATATATATATATATATATATATATATATATATATATATATATATATACCATTTAATGGGATCCGCCAATAAACCATTACAATTCTTTTCCTCTTCAATTTTCGGCAGCCTTCTCCCATCATGATAATTAAAATCATGAAATGAAATTAAATAAAAACTGTAGTCTCCAATTTAAAAATCAATAACTCAATCTCTAATTGGTAAGTCTCCAATTAAAACAAAATAATCAATTTTAACAACTAAAAATCATAAAATAATTGAATTTCAATTCTTAAAAAATCCGGGTTGTCACATAAACAAATAATTTGTGTTTCTTTAATCCGTATTTAGAAGGCAGCTGTTTCGAGCTCCTTCAAGACTACAATTAACAATTTGAAATATATTGGATTTTTATGGATTTCGAGGGTGTGACAAGATGGTATTAGAGCTCAGTTGGGTGAACTATTCTCAATTGTTGATGTAATGATATTTTAATTTTGGAAACTCATTGGGATTTTTGTTGTGGCTATTAAGTCAGTATTTGTAACACCCCCACATTTTTCACGCATAAGTTGATCAGGCTTATACACGAAAAATGAGGGATATCAAAAACAATTGGCAATATACAAGTATGGAATACAAAATGATGATAATAAAAGAATTTAGACAGGAAAGGAACACTAAATAATACAACATCCATCCATCCTTTATTTAAATACAGTACTCCATTACAACTTGGAAATCCTATATCAAGGATCCCTAAATATAAACCTAAGAGTTCAACGTCAAAAATAAAAACTGAAACTGAAGTAATACATAAAACTTCTACCCTGAACTGGATCGTAAGAGTAGATGAGTTCGGATGGTGGTCCCACACTGCTAACCTCAACCTTGGAACGGGTACTGACCGTATCCTAAAATAACAACAATGGTGGGTCAACCCCACAAGCAAGTCCTCTCTACTATGACCCAAATCAGAGAATCAAATAAATTAATTATTATGAATCGGATGAGTACTATATCTGTATACATCCTATGGGAACTATCCAATGTATAACATGACCTCAACCAGAATAGACGATGATCACTTAGACTCACACTAGGTGGTTAAGTGTCGCCTTTCCCTACCCGGGAAATCAGCTATTATACATGGTGCACGGTACTGACAACACAGACTATAACGAACTACACAATGATAACACCTCTCAAAGTACTCATGAATATACTGAGCATATAAATTAGGCAACACGTGCCAATAATATTACTAAACATACTGAGCATGTCAATTAGGGAACACATGCCAATAATATTAAACCACATACCCCGACAGCCACACATCTGTCTATAGCAACGAATGCATAAGGTATAAATGAGTTTAAACTTATTAGTCAGCTCACATGGTTCTATATGGCAACACATCCATGTAATATAAATGCGACATAATTTAAACAGCCCATTTATTCTCTGAAATGCACACAGCATAATACTCATGGTTGATATATGATTAACAGTATAAATATCCCATAATATCTAATGGCTAATTTATATGACGATAACCGTGACATTATTAACAGTACTACTGAATACCATTTAATAAAACAATAACAGCATCTATAATAATGTTGATAAATGAATCACCTTCATATCCGTACAGTAAACGTGCCATTTAAGGTTTAGAAATATTAATCGGCCATAAGAATAAGTAACGGGTAGTAAAATAATAATTTCGTGGCCCGTTAAACCCGTAAATACCAACACAGTAACTAAAAATCCAAGTTTAAGGTTCTGGAATTTACAAAACAGGCCCTAGGGGTATTCTGGTAATTTCCAGCAGCTGACAGGGCCCTTCACGCACCGCCCTAAGCTTCCCCACGCGCAGCCCTATGTTTTCCACTCTCTCACGCGCGCACACGCGCATCCACGCGCGTCTGGCATCAGCAACGCGCGCGCACGCGCTCCCACGCGCGTGTTTAAGTCTCCTGCAAACGTGGCACCTCCTGGTTGGTTGGCTGTATTGGCTTGCTGTGGGTGCGCTACACAGGATCACTTCATCTCATCTCACCTAATCCAAGGGTCAATGATCCGGGTGTACCGCGGTAACATGGACCGCGATGCACCGGATCAATCAGCTTCATCTAAGGCCCAGGATGCGCGCGTACACCCTCCTATGGTGCGCCGCATCACACCGGATCACTCCGGTCATCTCCCCCATTGCCGGCGACCGGAAAACTCGCCGGAGGGTCGCCGGAAAATACAGAAAAATTCCGAAAATTGCCCAAAAATTCTAGAAAAATTTCTAAAGCCTTAAATAACAATTTCCTAAGTTTCAATTAATTACCTAGGCCAATAATAAATTATTTAACCCTTAAATAATTAATATCACATTATTTTAATAAATTAAATAATTAATTTCTCATTGTCCTAGCATGGTTTCTAACCTAAAAAAAATAGCCGAATAAATGTAATGAATAATTTATGGACTCAAAGAGGAAAAGTAGATAATAACTTGCCTTTTTGGATTTAAAATAAATCCGCCGGTTGCGCGTAGTCGGGTAAATTTTTCCTACACCGGTCCAAGCTCCTTTCTTTCTCTCTCTTCCTTTCCACACTTTTACAATGGCTCACTAAAAGTTATAATTTGATTCTAACTCCCTTTCCTTCCTTCTAAGGTAGGCTAACTAATTTATATACAATTTATATAATATAAATATTACAAATATCAATTTTTGCATTTAATTAACCACATTCCCAACCATATGGCTTTAAGGCAAGCAAGCCAAGTCAAGCAAGATGTCCTAAGGTTCAACTATGGGAATGAAATCCTATCCTAAGATTTAATTTCTTCATCATTACACTGATTTAATACTATTATTATTTATAATAAATATTATTATTATTATTATTATTAATAAACTATTATAATTATTATTATTATAAATATTATTATTATATTATTATTATTATTCAATACAAATTAAATACTTTAATTAAATAATAATAATTAATCTAAAACATAACCAATAAAAATTTCAAAACTAATCATTATACTATATAGAACATAAAATTAATATTACATGCACAAATAAATAAAATTAATTAACAAATCTAACATATATAATTACAAGGTGAATAAATCTACACATTAAAGAATTAACCTAACACAAAATTAATTTAAATACACTCTTTAAAATTACGAGGTATTATAGTATTTACCAATTGGGATATAAAATTATTTGGTTGTGTGTGATGGAAATTTCGATTCTAGACATTCATTTGGATTAGGGGTATAAGATGATATTTAAGGTAAAATATGATCATTAAGTTAATAATATATTTTATCACACACCGAATGCTTGGTTAGCATTGACTCTTTTGGATCCCAGTGATAGGGGTGGGACAAAATGTTACAGCTTTTAAAAATCAATTTAATTCTTTTGGATCCCAGTGATAGGGGTGGGACAAAATGTTACAGCTTTTTAAAATCAATTTAATCATTCACCTTGTCATAAGTGTCTGTGGCAATGGTCACTTACATCTAAGTTTATCTCTGTTATCCTTTGAACAATTGCGATGACAGAAAGTGATCTTAAAATTAGGAACTGGATTTTATTTCAGTTGCTGCTTCTTTTTTCTTTCTTGACACCATATCTTGCTACACTGTACCTTTTCTACCCTTTTGGGATATGGATATTCTCTCTCTCTCTCCGTCCTTTGGATTTTGAACTTCATTCACCCACATTTCCATTCTGTGACTATAAGTATACTAAGCTTACCCCAATCAATTAGTGCTGTTTATAGAAAAAAAAAATTTAATTATGTGCTATAAAATTAGTACTGTTTACATCCAATGACTTGTAAAATTGTTTGTGCTGGGTGGGAACCTTGCAGACCCATCTCCCTTCTGCGAACCTAGGACTAGCTGTGTAAAACATAAGATCATAAATATGGGACAAGTGGAGCTACAATTGCTTGTAGGAAGCTAGATTAACAATTTGATAAATGGATCTTACTCTTCCTGAAACTTCCTGAAATATCCTCCAAGCATTTATTATATGACTTCTTTTCATGTGCCATCTTTTCTGCATATCTGCCTGTCTTGTGTCATTATCTAGTGATTATTGTCGGTGTTGTTATTGTTATATATGTAACCCAATAATATCTGCATTTCAGTCTTTCCCTTTTGAGCTGAGGCGAGTTTGACAATGGCAGACTTACCACGTCATGTGAAAGCCTGCTTTGAGACTGGGAAACTTGCTTCCTTGGCAATTTTGGTCTCTAGTGGGATTGTGCTGCAAGTTTTGGTGAGTTTTATTCTTCTCTGTTAATTCCTTTGGAATACTTTTGTGCTGCCAAAGGCATTATTAATTTCTTACTTTTTCTTGCATGATGTGGCAGGCATGTGCTTTGTACGATAATTGGTGGCCAATGCTAACAGGTAGGGTGATGTTTGTTTTTAGGTTAAAATGCCATTTTGAGTCTCTTTTGTTATTATTTATCATTTTATGAAAAGGTACTCCTTTAGTAGTGGCCTTTAAATTTCTGTGTCTTCAATATAGTTACTTTATTACTTGGTTTTTGAATTCTTGTTACACAAAAATAAACTAGTATATCATGTCTTTTACTAGTACACCGAGGTTTAGTTAAGTCAAAAGGGCACCAAAAGGTGTATGTCCCACCTACACTACACAAGGTGCTGGGAGCGGAATATTAAGACAAGTGGCTGCAGACTTGAACTTGCATTTTCACGCTTATTGATTCAAGCTTTTATAAAGTTCTTTTA